ACAAGAATACCTTTAAATGGTCTGTACCTAGGATCACCGATGGTTGACACTTGCTCCTGATAATACAGAGGCGTTGAGTTTAGTATCTGTAGTTTTTTTTTTTTTTTTTTTTTTTTTTTTTTTTTTTTTTTTTTTTTTTTTTGTTTGATCATTTTTATGTATAAACAAGAATTTTATTTAAAACATTGTTTTTTTGTAGATCCATATGCCTCCAAAAAGAACTCAAGCGTTTAATTTAGTGAAGGTGTCGGTCTTGGGGTGGACTACGACACGCCTAGAGGGTAATTCGGTGGAGATCTCATCAGAGGCGACACCTTCCGTCCAACGCCAATTGTACCCTCTGTCTTTGGACTCACCAACTACACCTACATCACCATAGACGAGCACACCTACTAGTGGGCCACTTGCTCTAGATATACATATCAATTGTCGCCGCATCCAAGTGGAACCGACAGAATAACCCGTTACAAAGAAGGCAAGACGAGGAATTATCACCGGAAAGGCGATTAAGAGAGACATCACTAACAACGAAAATAAATGTCTTCCTCTTAAGTGGAACATGGAAAAAAAAATTGCCCGATACAAACAAAGTTTGTATGATCGCAAAGCAAATCGGGAACATTGTTCGTGAGCATATTCAGATGTTGACTGATAGTTATTTAAAACTTACGCAAGATGAATTCAAGATTATTTATTTTAATATTAGCAAGCCCAACTTTTTTAACTTATGGGCTATGACTCAAATATATCCCTAAACCCAATACAAACCCTAACATCTAACATAATCAAAATGGTATTTAATCTAAATTTATAAATTATATATGTTTTTTTAAGTTTAATACTTAAAGTCCATAAAAGGCCCAAACCGCCTAAACCGATCAGACCAGACCGCCTTTTCATGGTCTGGTTTGACCGATCTGGGCACTTGATGTCAAACCGCTAGGTTTGAAAATTTTATAAACCGTCATTACGGTTTGGTTTGTGGTCTGAGTGGTTAAGCCGCCCAAATCGGACCACGAACACCCCTAGCTAGTTCTTATTTTTTTTGGTGATTTATATTTTATTAATTAATAATGCTTAACATTTTATTTGATTTTAATTTGTATTCGTTTTTCAGGTTTTCTTTGAGATTGATTGGAATGGACCTCCGGGTGATGCATTATTTGATTGGATCTACCTAACTGCGCACCACTCATAATAGGTGGAAAACTGATTGCCATATATTATATAAGAAAAAAGTTCGTCTTCCAATCTCGATGAACTTTGTACATCGGCCAGATCAGTAGGATTTTTTGTGCATGCTTTTTGAGAAAGAAACATGGAAGGTATTTAATGAGTAAATAATTAAATATATAAATTACTTTTTTGAGTTTAGATTGTAAAATAAGTGTTTTTCATGTTGTAGAATAAATCAAAGAGAACGTCGGAAGCAAGGTTGTCAAAAAAATAGGATCAAGCATGAATCGGGACCGACTTTGTTCTGGTTTAGGACTAATAAACTTGAAGCTACCGAACATATGGCTTCTTATCTCGGTACAATTTCCGAGACCACTACAAGTGAAGACCATAAAGTAGGTAAACTTGAACTTTTATTTCGTGCGATCATGATTTGTATATATTTTTTCCTTTGTTGTCCAACATCACTTTTTCACATTTGACGTCCGTTTTAGCTTAGATTCAGCCTAAATTTACAAAAACTCAAAACTTAAAAGTTGTAGGGTCATTTGTTAGCTTTCCATATAATCCTTAATCACTTAAATCTGAGCTCGGACGAGTGAGATATGCTCAAAATACCAGTCTCGCAAAGCTGTCAAAAATTATTCTTCTATCCCTTTTTCATTCCAACTTTTCCAAACCTTTAGAAATATAAAAACACATTAATGTAGTTCTTTTTTTAACCATTTTAATGAGGGATGATTGATGAGAAATATTTAATTGTAATTAAAACAATTGTTTGAATCGTATTTACATAAACTTGTTGAAGAAGAGATTGAGAAGATTACGAACGTTTCTGATGGCACTCCAGAATCTGTCGAGCCTCGAATTCATTGCCCAATCAAAAAAGAAATATCAATCTTCGAGAAAATTGTTGGTCTGTCGGCAGAAACGGTTGTTCGAGGTATGGGTAGCTTGGCGGTTCGACCTGCGAGAATGAGAGGACCGGTGAAGGGATTCTCTAAGTCAGTATCTTTAGTTGACGTGGAAGATTTGCGGCGACAACTTGCCAAGTGCGACAAGAAGATTCACTTGCTAAAATAGGGACAAAATGAGGCAAAAAAGAAAGCCGTCGAGCAAAGAAATATGATACAATCATTGATGACTATGTTGGGTGCTTGTGATTCAAACTCTAACTCAACAACCCCGACCTCTCACGCTTTAGGTTAAGTTTTTAATTTACTGTTATTGAACTTGTTGCCTACTTTTAGACTTATTTAGGAAAAAATTAATCTTTCAATTATTGAACTTATTAATTTTGTTTGGTTATAAAAGTTGTTTGTATAGAACATTTGTTTTCTTGTTTGTGGGAGTTGTTTGTAGAAAACATGTTTGTTTGCTTGTTTATGAGATTCGTTTGTAGAAAATGTGCAAGAGAAAAATTGTATCATGGTACACAAAGATCTTAGCAACAATTAAACAATATAAATATTGTCTAAAAGAAATATTATATGATTTTAATTATAGTTCAAATGCAACATATCTAAATAGAGTATGTTGTCTAAGTTGATATCTAAGGCAACATATTCAGATAGAGTATATTGTCTAAGTTGATATCAAAGGCAACATATGCAGATAGATTATGTTGGCTAAGTTGATACCTTACGCAACATATGCAGATAGAGTATGATACCTTACGCAACATATGTTTTTTTCATAGGCAACATTCTGTGTGTTGCCTAAGAAGTCCGCTTAGGCAACATATGTTGTTTGCATATGTTGTCTTGGTTCTCATGCAACATTGAGAAAGCAACACGATTTTTTACCTAAACCTTACGCAACATATAAACCCCTCTTAGGCAACATTTTTTATTTGTCGTCTAAGTGACATTTTGAGGTAGTGACAAGATATTTTTTCAAGTTAAAGAAGACGATTTTATTTATAAACTTGTTTTCATATTCCTATGCAAAACTTAAGAGTTTTGGCATGGTAAATTTTTTTATCTTTTAAGCTATATGAGGAAAAGGACATACTATACACCTTAGTCGCCCTTTCCCAGTGGGGGGTTGATATTGTCACCCCCTGCGAACACTTTCTACCCCTCATGCACATGTTCCCTCTCACACACACCTCTCCTCTCACACACCTCTCCCTCACAATCACTCTCCTCACACACTCACACCGAATTCACTTTTTTTAATTTTAAAAATTTAAATTTACATTTTATACCCCTATAATTAGTTAATTAATTCACTTTATATCCTTTCCTTTTAAATTTTTCATTTTATACCCTGATCAAATTAACATACATAATCGTATATCAATTAAAATATGTTTAAAAAATA